TTAGATTAAGGAAATTAACACAACTGTCTCTTCATTATATGAACAATTCTGAAGTGTTTTATGCATAAGGACAAGCCTTCCTTCAGCTGCAACCACAGGTCCACATAGCTGACCCAGAATATCACTGTACTACAGAAAGCAGGATAAGATCCCCTTTGATTCAGATCATCTTACTGAAATATTTATGCAGACTCAAGCACGGAGCTATTGACCTGCGTCAAGTCGCTATATGAGTTTCTCTCTGGGGCATGTATAAATTGTGTATATGTTAGGCCATAAATCAACTTGAATTTCAAACAAAAGCATGGGATTTAATGGGCACAAAGAATCCATTGTATTAGCATTCAAACTGGCTACATTTCAAAGCAAAATCAAGGTATCATATTTACTTTTACTTACTCTTGGTATTTATAGACTTGACCTGTGTAGAGAAGAGAGGGCAATTAATTCTACATATTAAATTTTAAAAACACAGAGCCATAAATTTGGTTTTAAAACCTTATGTTATAAACAAATAAATGGTGTAGCCAATTCATTACAGCACGACTTGGGCAATCTTGAGAGAGGGTTCCCAAATTAAAGATTTTGGGAAGAATTAACACTGTTACCTAACTACTGACTAAAATATACAGTTACATTTCCAGATAAACATGATTCCCAGCATTATGTAACTCATTCCATTCTCAAAGTGTGGCAAACATCGACTGAATGAATAATCTTAAACCGCCTTCATTCATAGCTAAAGTGTGAGGATCTTTTATTATTTAACAGACACGAGTTTCTCTTATTTGCACAGAGAAGCAACTACTTGTGTGCACAAGTTATTAGGTGTGTAAATTAGGGCAGAGTTCTTTCACTTAAGGTATGAAATCAAATTTGGGGTTTACTTCTATTTTAAAAGAAAAAGATTAAAAAGACAAAGGTAAACATAAAAACTACCAGGTATTTTCAATATGATGAGCTCACTCTCATAAATCCAGTCCAGGTTTTGATCGTGTATAATCAGTATTTCCACTTCTTGGATAAAGAGATTTTAACAGTTTAAGTGTCTTTTCAGCAACGTTGAGACTACCTGCCAACTTGGGATTTAGAAAAAAAGACAACATTAAAACACTTTTTTCCCCCATTAAAGCTCTGTATTTCCTTTACAGAACTCCAAAGTTTGGCTAAATATAAATCTCCAAACACTGGGAACACTCAAGCACTGGAAAAGCCTAAAACCTACCCTCAGCATGAATAGCATACTTATTAACTGACCTCATTTAATTTCTGCAAAAGTAGCATTAAAACATAACTTCACCAAGCTCTCTCTTGATTCCCAAAACATAAACTGAGTATCAGTAAGTAAAACACTCAGGCAACAGCAAAAAACAGTTTAAGGGTGCATCATGTTGAGCAATGTACCCCACCACTGACAGAAATTATATGTGCAGGACCCAAATGATGCATTTGGAACAAGAGAATCTATGCCCAGGAAAGTCCCACCTCTGCAGCTTCCTGAGCACACTGTGCCCATCCTCCTCTCCAGAGATGGGGAGATCATCCTAACCCCCTGGAAAATGCTGGAGCAGAGCTGCCATGTGTGAGATGAGTCATGTGCCAGGGACAAGGGCTGCTGGGGAAACAGATTCTCTGCTGCAGGACACAGAAAAAAGGGAGTTCTGTGCTTCCAGTGAAGTTTCTCTGCATCACAAGGACTTGGGGTCCAGTTAGATCCGACCAGGGACTGGAAATTTGATGAGAAACAAAAAGGCCTTCTCAAAAGCACAGTGGATCATTTCTTAAAATATAACTGCCACTGTAGTACTTGGTAATATGGTGATGATATTTCAGGTGCTGTGACAGAAAAACTCTACATTCACACAAATAGCAAATGTTTTGGGAAGCTTTATAGGAGTCAATTTGGATTTCAATGGAAATGAAAATGAGCTATTAACTAATAGCCTGCATGTCTCAAGTCCCTACTGAGTATTCCTGAGTACAGCCCCCAAAGGAGTGGAACAATAACTTTCTGCAGGGAGCCCTTAGGAACAGGAACTTCTGAATGAAAGTATATCACTAAGTTTCATATATATAAAACATAGGGGTCAGTTGTAAACTGGAATATATAAAAGCACTGATTAGCTAATTTTGTCCATAAATTAATAAAGGAAAGGATGTAGGAGACCTGGTAAAATTCTGTTTCAGAAAAATGCAGGCAAAACAAACTCTGTTAACAGAACAGACTTGTTGATAGAATAAGATTAAATGGAAACCAAAATCTTTATGGTGAAAAAAAAAAAATAAACAAAACCCCAAACAACTTTTTATGAGTGGCCTGGCTCAAGCATTACGATCAAATTTTATAATTCATGCAACAACTAAAGACATCACAGATAAGCCTTTAAGTCCCTGATTTAAGTTGCAGTGATCTAAATGACTGCAGAAGGATGAAACAGCAGCCCTGCTGACAGGCAGGGCACCCACAGCATTTCTCTGTCCTCCCTCTGCTATCAAGTTCCTTCCATCTTAAGCACATGTTGGAAGTTAAGCACATAGTTAGAAGATTTTCTGAATTATGGGCCTGGCATGAATAGATTTGCAGCAAAAATGACTCAAGCAGATTCAGAGAGCTGGCACCAATCTATGTGCACTCCAGCTGAATTCCTGTTTGTCTTTGCCTTCCCTTTGCTCTATGCCAGCACCTGCAGCCCAAACCTACCACACTTTATTTTCAATCTGCTTTTGAGTTTCCAAACATCCCCCACTGGTAGATTCCAACATCACTGAGGTTACCAGTGTCCTGCTTAAGGGGAAAGCACAGCTTTCCAATGGCTCACAGGCTCCCTACCACTGCTCGAGGCTCAGACTGAGCAATCTTGTTCAAGGAACAAATACAGCAGTAACAGGAATCAATTAAAATCTTCAGCATCCAAATCAACCCAAAAATGGTAAGAGAAGACAATGATAGATATGGAGTGGCACAGTCCATCCAGGGGAGGTTACAGCTTCAAAACAGAAGACGAAAAAGCCATATTAGAGAGTATTCCTACACCTGCTGTTTATTGCATCCCAGCTTTCCCTGGCCATTACTTGGATGGCTGATGTCCTTCCTCACTCTGCCTGTGAGGCTCTGCTGGCTTTCAGGTCAGCCTCCAGCCCAAAGAGAAATGAAGTAAAAAGGAACATAACACTTCAAATCTCATCTCAGCATCTCTTCTTTGCATCCTAGGACACTTACCAGAATGCTGCCTGCTACACAACTTTTGAATTATGAAAACAAGAATCAGTGATGGAGGACCTTTTAAGTCTTATGCAGTTGTTCTCCCCTTGCGTTAATCCAGAGCACAGAGCTGCTGATTACACGTGGTATCAATAGAAATAAAAAGGGAATGAGTGTCTGGTGTAGACATACTCGTGTATCTCTGGAATAGCTATTCTGCAGTAGCTTTAACTTGTCAGGTCTTGAAGCACACCACACCAGAGGAGAGGCTGAGGAGCCCCCCTTCACCAGGCAGTATGAAATTATGATGACAGAGCTGTTAACAACATCTAACACCACTGCCTGCACCACAACAGCTCCTTGCCTGGATACACATCCTTCACTGGAGGACAAGGAACACATGGTGGACCCCTGGCAAGGTCTGCTGGAGAGCTCAGTAACCCCATCCTGGAGATTTTCTTTAATTGTGTGGTTCCAGGAAGGAAAGGCAGCATCACAGAGAGCAAAATGTGATGGCATCAATGTGTACTCATACAAATTCAAATGGATTATCCCAAAATTAAGGGGGGGAGGGGGATGACACTTTCACACATTGTCATGGTTGTCTGTATCTCCTCAAGTAATACAGAGTTTTGACATGGTGTGTTCTTCTTCAGTCTGTGCACCCCTCCCTTTTATGATACAAATCAAATGAGATTGTCAATCTTCTCTCTGCCCTGTGACTGCTGGAAGGATATAATGAGAGCAATATTTTGGCTTCCTGCAACTGTCTCTCAATTAGATGGTGATACTGAAATCTGTTCTCTTTAGACTCCCCTTTCTCTCTTGATCCTTATCTGGAAACATGGAGGAGGGGAAAGACATATAAGATACGGAAATTCTTGACATCCCTGGAAGTGTTCAAGGCCAGGTTGGATAGGGCTTGGAGCAACCTGATCTAATCAGGTCAGCAAGGTGCCCATGCCTGTGGCAGGGAGTTGGAACCACATGATCTGTAAGGGCCCTTCCAACCCAAACCATTCTATGATTCCATGAATAAGATTAAATTCACTTTCTTAACAACAGCCTGGCCTAGACACAGTCTATAGTTAAGCAAGACATGAGTATTTTGATGTCTGTTTCCCAAACTAAGGGCATCCTCCTTTTCCAAGGCTTGCTCACTCAGTGTGACAGTGAGCTTAAACAGACTCAAACATGAAGCCCAGTGTTTGTTGTACTACAGTAATTCTCATAAAATACTGCTCAGTGGCCATAAAATAGATCACTTAAATACAGGCTGAAATGCATGATTTTATCTTAAATGACAAAATAAATAACTGATCCAATTAAAGCAAGGAAACACTCATTCCTTCTTATCTTTCTTATTTCCAGTATTCTCTGCATTACCAATAGGACCTCTATGCACCATTTAAATGCTGGAGGAAATCATCTTTTTGTCAGTAGAGCCTGAACTAAAGTCCATCTTTTCTTCTTAGACCATGACTGTGACATCTTTACTGATCAGTGTGAGGAGCTGTTGTTTAATTAAAGTTGCACATGAAGGATCTAAATCAGTGAATTTGTATCTCTGATTTGGAATAAATAGCTATTAACTGCCCCTAGTCTAGTTTACTGAACACCTTGTTTATCTGACTTATTATAGGAATATTGGCAAGATTGTAGTGGCATGTGGTAATTTTGTAAGTTTTTTATATTCGATTAAAGTCACTGTAAAGATTACAGCTCTTCTAAGGTTATAAAATAGCTTTTCATTTCTACAGTGAATGCTTTGTGAAGAAAAGCACACTAGATAAGAGGCTTTATCATGAAGCCTTTATTGTTCAAGGCTTGGAGTAATTGCAGCTTCTGCTGGCATTAGTCAGGACTGTGAGTGTGAGGACGTCTCAAAAATCAGCATCTAAGGATATTTGAACCAGCCAGCTACTGAGTTATTCCATGCTCCTGCTGGATGAAAATAGAATCCTCTTTAAAAATGAACAAAACACAACAAAAACCTCACAAACAAACAAGCTTCAGCTCTGCTCTCACATGAGGAAACTCCCTTTGACATTTCACCCAAGCTATAGTTCATAAAAAATTGCAAATGAAGCACTGGGAAGGTGAAACAACCCTCACCATCTCCAGCCTGCTCATCCCGAGTTCCTTGGATCTGATGTTTACATTGCTCAGGATCAGCTAAAAAGCAATGATTTGGTCCAGTGAGAGCAGATTCTGAGACAGCCAGCGAGGCTCAAACCCTGCTCTGATGGGTCAGTTCTACTGGTTAAACTGGTGTTTCAGGAAGGAAAGGAAAATGAAGTATTGCATCACAGGATTTCCTTTGAGGAATACACAAAAATCTTTATGCTGCCAGGTCTACACTTTCAGCTATGGCACTGAAACTTCCTACATAAACAAAAAACCACCATAATTATACAGGTCAAGAAGAGGAATATAAGTATGTCTTTAAACCAAAAATCCATCAGGAAATTTTTGAGAGTCTAAGCTGCCTTCATCTATTACCACATATCCTACCTCAATGTACATTCCTCAGTAGGCACAGCCAAATGAGTTGATGCAGAATAATCCCTGACCACATCATACAGCCAAAAAACTGTTCCAAAACAAGAGTGCATCTCCAGTAGGGATATGGCATCACTCAAAGGCCAGGTAAAATTAGGAATGGTTTTTGTAGGGATCCTACACTTATGCTCATATTTTAGTATAATTTTGGTTGGTTTGTCTGTAATTTAAACATGCAACTTAAATATTAATAGGATTAATTTAGTTTTTGGATTAACAAAGAATCTTACATGTTCACACTTCTCTGCATGGTTTGGCTGTGAGCAGGGCTGGGATGTAAACACAAACTTTGGACATATCCCACTCCTAAGACTGGCTTTTGACCTAGAGTCCATAGATGTTTATGTTGGTATAATAATAATGAATAAATTATTATCCAGGACAGTAAAATAAGACAAACTGCAATTTTATGTCATCTAGCATTCATAATTCTTAAAATAACATCAATTTTATTCCGGATTTTTAAGTAGCCAAATGTGTGAAGTTGCTCATAATGATTGCTCATAACACTGTAGGGTAAAATTTTATTTAAATTAAGCAATTTAGGTTCATTTTATTATTATCTGGAAGCATACAGATGTTGAATACTATTTGATGAACAAATTTAAAACCTGAAAATATTACCAAACATGCTAATCCTACCATTGACTATTCATACCTACCTGGACAAAAACAAATATGTATTTAACACCTTTTGTTTCTCTCCACATATTTCATGAATAACAGAATACATACAAGACACCTTCTCTTGCATTTTAGTAGAGCTTCTGCCATGCAATGGGACACTGGCTTATCTGATGGAGCTGGTAATAGGGGAAAAATGCTCCTTGGTATTGACAGTTCCCTCCCCTAACAAAAAGCACAATAATGTTTATATCTTTGTCTATTTGTCGGACATGTTGTGTACTTTCTTTGTTGTGTGTCTCACAAAGGCCAAAAGAATTAATTAGAGGAAAACAATCTAGAGGAATTAAAACTGAGGTTGCACACGCCTTCCTTTCATTAGTCACTTCTGCTTCCAGAAATCAAATGGCAGAAACATACATTCCTCTTTCAGTCAAGATTGCCCCTTTGGGAGTGAGTCGAGCAGTTCATGTTAGAAGAGTCCTTTGTTCCCTTCACTTAGGGTATCGGAACAGTTGGTAATCAGGGATAAATCATCCACTGTTTGCCTTAATTTAATTTGTATTTCACTCCAGACCAATGCGCTCACAATTGCTTGATAAGGCAAATAAATAGAAGAACTCAAATTAGATACAAATATTAATATCCTCATTGGCTCAGAAGGAAGCAATATAGCAGGTGTATGAATAGAGTCTGGAATATTTTATTTACTCAGTAATCTGAGAAAGGGGAACAAAGTTCAACCCGAAATTCCATCCAGGGACTGTCTCCTGCAGGCTGGTAGTGCCTGACCCACAACCTAAACCCATTTCTAGGCTTAGAAATCAGCAGTGAGTAGTGATGATCAACACCCCATTCATTGTCTTTATGCTGTTTTGATTACTTCTTTTCTCATAAAGAAACCTGACAGCTCTTGTGTGACCACAATCTATTCAGGGAAACTGAGAGTAAACTGGCTCTTACCCTTTGCTTCCAGCTTGTTGTTCTGCCTTTCCGTGCAATCACATCACATCAAAGTGATGTAGCTATTTGTTTCTTTTTTTTTTTCCTAAAGGTCTCAACACTGCTTAGATTCTGACGATCTGAAATCACTGAGTCACCACCAACAGACATTTAGAATTACTCTTCAAAGTGAAGATGAAAATACCATTAGCCATTGTTCCAAAAAAACAAAACAACAACTAATCATAATATTCTATTTATACACTAACGATTGGGCTGTGTCCCCTCAGCACCACCCTCTGTGCCCACACTTCATAAGGAGATTACGCTTCTCCCTATGAAGTGAAAATTACCTTCTGGTGGGCAGAAAGCGTTTAATTATGACTCTGCTTCCCTTGTCTCCATGGCGATCCCATGCAAACAGCCTGCTTTATTAGCGCTCATTTCCCCCTCCCCACCGAAGTCCTAAATGAGCTGTGCGGGCCCCGGGGACCCCCGGCCGGCCGGACCCGGCACCGGCCGCGCCCCCGCGCTCACCCGGCGGGAGCCCGATGGGGAAGCCGCGGGACGCGCTCGCTCTAATCCCGTTTGGAGCTCAGCCGCTGCACCATTTCGGCACTTACTGCAGGAAATGTGTTCCCTATTGCTGCCCGCCCGTGG